TCCTAATGATCCCACTTTTTTTCCTAATCAGAGACAATATCGCCTAAAGCCAGAAGCTAAGAAAGGGCTAGAAGCCGTTATTAATAACCTGAAGATGCAGGGCTTCCTTAAACCCTGTAACAGTCCCTACAACACCCCAGTATTAGGAGCACAAAAACCCAATGCAGAATGGAGGTTCATTAATAAGGCCATAGTCTCAATCCATCTGGTAGTACCTAATCCCTATACCTTGCTAATCCAAATACCTGCGGGAACTAAATGGTTTACAGTCCTAGATTTAAAGGATGCCTTTTTCTGCATACTGTTACATCCTGACTCTCAATACCTGTTTGCCTTTGAAGAATCCCTCTGGCCAAACTGCCCAGTTAAAATGCATGGTGCTGCCTCAGGGATTATCCCTCATTTGTTTGGACAGAAGCATTGTCAAAGGACCTCTCTGAGTTTTCCCATCCTCAGGTAAGGGTCTTGCAATATGGGATGATATACTGCTCTGTGCCCCAACTGAGGAAACCTCCTGGGAAGGCACTAAAGCTCTTCTTAATTTCTTAGCTGACAGAGCATATAAGATTTAAAAATCTAAGGTCCAACTTTGCAAAACCTTGGTAAAGTACCTTGGTTTAGTGCTTCTGAAAGGATCAGAGCATTAGGGGAAGAAAGAATTAAGCCCATTTCCTCCTTCTCCCTCCCTAAAATCCTCAAGCAACTGACAGGATTTTGGGGCATTACAGGATTTTGCAGGCTATGGATAACTGGGTATGATGAGATAGGTCATCCTCTATATCACTTCATAAAAGAAACTCAAGTGGATAAAACTCATCTCCTAACCTGGAAACCTAAAGCTCAAAAGGCCTTTAGCCAGCTAAAGCAGGCCTTACTTAAGGTACCAACCCTCAGCCATCCTGTAGGGAGGACCTTCAATCTTTATGTATCAGAAAGGAAAGGAATGGGAATGGAAATTTTAATTCAGGCCTGAGGACCAGCCTAACAACTAGTGGGCTACCTGAGTAAGAAACATGATTTGGTGGGTGAAGGATGGCCAGCATGCCTCTGAGCAATGGCCATGTTGGCCCTACTGGTACTAGAGGTCACCAAACTATCCCTGGGAAAATGGCTTAACTGTTTATGCCCCCTATAATGTAGCAGGATTGCTGTCTTTTATGGTGAACCTTTGGCTAACAGACAGTTGGCTCCTTAACTATCAGGCTGTGCTGTTAGAAGGGTCAGCAGTTCAGTTAAAAACTTGTTCTTGCCTAAACCCAGCCACTTTCTTCCCCAAGAAAACTGGGGAACCTGAACATGACTGTGAGCAAGTTGTGGTACAGATCTATGAAGCCAGGGAGAATCTCAGGGAAACTGCCCTAGAAAATCCAGACTGGACCATCTTCACAGATGGCAGTTCCTTTGTAGAGCAAGAAGCCCGTAAGGCAGAATATCCAGTAGTCAACTCTGAATGATATTATTGAAAGTGCACCTCTCTATCCAGGCGTAAGTGCTCAACTAGCTGAACTGATAGCTCTTACAAGAACACTTGAATTAAGCAAGTGAAAGGTAGCTAACATTTACATTGACTCCAAGTATGCTTTTTTAGTTCTCCATGCTCATGCTACCATTTGGAAGGAAAGACACTTTCTTACCACTAATGAATCTACTATAAATTACCACCAGGAAACTAACAGATTATTATCCTCAGTTTTCCTTCCATGAGAGAGGTAGCAGTGATGCATTGTAAGGGACATCAGAAGGGAACAAAAGAAATAGCTGAAGGAAACAAGTTAGCAGATCAGGCAGCCAAGTCAGCAGCAAGAAAGCCTCATGGCATCAACTTGAAGCCCCTCTAACCTGGAAAGGCTCCATAAAAGAAATTAAGCCTCAGTACTCCCCTGCAGAAATAGAATGGGCCATTTCTCAAGGGTTTACTTTCCAGCTCTCAGGATGACTACAGTCAGAATATGGCAAACTCCACTTGCCATATGGAAAGTCCTTAAAATCTTTCACCAAATGTACCTCGAAACAATAAATTCCTCATGGAATTCCAGACCCCTGTATGATGTTTGCTAAAAGTAGTGACCTACAAATCTGTGGGTGAACAGGATATGTTTGGACTGACAGCCTTTGATGCAAGGATTATCTGAGATATTGACCAGGGTATATTATGTCCCTAATTTTTTGAAAGTCCATTTGTCAGGTGGACCCTTCTCATTTAACAAAAATCATATAATCATCTCAATAGAAAAGACATTTGATAACATTCAACTTTGCTTCAGATAAAAATATCTCAACAAATTAGGTATGGAAGAAATGTACCTCAAAACAATAAAATCCATGTATAACAAATCCACAGCTAACATCACATTCAATGTGGAAAAGTTGAAAGCCTTCTGCGATCTGGAACAGATAGTGCTGACCACTTTTTACCAGTTTCATTCAACATAGTATTGGAAGTCCTAGCCAGAGCTAGGACTAGAAGAAAATTAAGTCAGAGAAATAAATAAAGGGCATACAAATTGGAAGGAAGGAAGTTAAATTGTCCCTGTTTGCAGACCACATAAATTTATATTTAGAAAACCCCATAGACTTCAATGAAAAACTGTCAGAACTGATTTTAAAAACTCAGTAAAGCTGCAGGATACAAAATCAACATAAAAAAATCAGTAACATTTCTATACACCAATACCAAACAACCTGAAAAAAAATCAAGAAAGCAATTTCATTTACAGTAGCTACAAAAAAAAAAAAAATCCTAGGAATAAATTGATCTAAAGAGGTGAAAGATCTCTACAGTGAAAACTACAAAACATTGATGCAAGAAACTGGAAAACACACACACACACACACACATACACACACATATACACATACACACACACAAAATAGAAAGATATTCCATGTTCATGGGCTAGAAGAATAAATGTTAAAATGTTCAGACTACTAAAAGCAATCTACAAATTCAAGGCAAACCCTATCAAAATACTAATAATATTCTTCGTCAACATAGCAAAACAATCTTAAAATCTGTATGGAAACAAGATGCAGAATAGCCAAAGCTTTTCTGAGCAAAAAGAACAAAGCTGAAGGCATTATATTACCTGACTTCAAAATATACTACAAAGTTATAATAAACAAAAAAACAGTGTTATACTGGCATAAATATAGTCACATAGACCAATGGAACACAATAGAGAACACACAAATGAATCCACATATTTACAGTCATCTGGATTTTTGACAAAGTCATCAAGAACATACAATGGGGGAACAAAAGTATTTAAAATAAATGGTGCTGGAGAAACTGAATATCTATATGCAAAATAATGATATTAGACCCTTTTCTCTCACCATATACAAAACTCAGTTAAAAATGAATTAAATACTGATGTGTATGACCCAAAGTATGAAAATACTAGAAGAAAACATAGGGAATACTGTTCAGGACACTGGAGTAGCCAGAGGATTTTTGGATAAGACCTCAAATGCACCGAGAACAAAAGCAAAGATAGACAAATGGGATTATATAAAACTAAAAACTTCTTCACAGCAAAAAAAGCAATCAAGTGAGTGAAGAGTTAACCTCCAGAATGGGAGAAGATATTTGCGAACTATCCATCTGACAAGGGATTACTATCCAGAATATACAAGGAACTCAACCAACTCTATAGCAAAAAAAAATCTAATAATCCAATTAAAAAATGGGCAAAAGATCTGAATAGACACTTACCAGAAGAAGATATACAAATGGCAATCAGGTATATTACAAGGTGCTCAACATCATTGATCATTAGAGAAACACAAATCAAAACTACAATGTAATATAATCTCACTCCTGTTAAAATGACTTTTATCCAAAAGACAGGTAGTAACATATGCTAGTGAGGATGTGGAGAAAAGGGAACCCTTGTACACTGTTGGTGGGAAAGTAATTAGTACACCACTATAGAGAACAGTTTGAAGGTTCCTCAAAAAACTAAAAATAGAACTACCATATGATCCAGCAATCCCATGGCTAAGTATATACCCAAAAGAAAGGAAATCAGTATATCCAAGAGCTACTTGCACTCCCGTGTTTATTACAGTACTAATTACAGTAGCCATGATTTGTAAGCAGCCTAAATGTCCATCAACAGACAAATACACAAAGAAAATATGGTATACATACATAATGAAGTAGTATTCAGTTATAAAAAGAACAAGATTCTGTCATTTGCAGCAACATGGATGGAACTGGAGGTCATTATGTTAAGTGAAATAACATAAGGCACAAAAGACAAACTTTGCATGTTCTTTTTTATTTGTGGAAGTTAATAATTAAAACAATTGAACTCATGGAGATAGAGAGTAGAATGACGGCTACCAAAGGCTGGGAAGGGTAGTGGGGGCATGGAGGTGAAGTGGGGCTAGTTAATGAGTACAAAAATATGATTAGACAGAATGAATAAGATCTAGTATTTGATAGTATAACAGGGTAACTACAATCACCAATAATTTATTTTACATTTAAAAAATAGCGAAAAGAGTATAATTGTATTGTTTGTAGCACAAAGAAAAGATAAACTCTTGAGACAATGAATACCCCATTTACCCTGATGTGATTACTATGTATTGTATGCTTGTATCAAAATATCTCATCTACGTCATAAATACATACACCTACTTTGTACCCACAAAAATTAAAAATTAAAAACAAACAAATAAAAACCAAAAATACAGATATTCTGTTCTTCAGATGTTCCCTTAAAGAAAGTAAAAAGATGAGGTAAGCATTGCAAGAAGATAAGTGCAATGCATTTATTTGTGACAAAGAAAGAATGTGTATGTGTCAACACACACACAGTATTTATCCTCTCACATATTGCTTAATGATTATCAGGTATGTTGTTTGGTATCTAGCTGTTGAAACTCCCCTCCTATGATCTACAAGTCTTGTAGTTTAGCCTTTCCTAGAACAGATGAGGTAACAAGCAAAAATAAGCTTTTGTAAACCACATAAATAAAGCATTTCCTACCTTTGTGGAGTTCTGGAAAACTGTAAAAGTGATCCAGGAGGCTAATATAAACAACAGTGCCCACAGCGACTTATAATTTATCATACTTATTTTCATGATTAGGATCCTACAAGAGACAATACAAAAACAAGCACAAAAACATACAACAAAACAAAACAGAAAAGCAAACAAACGTGGGAAACATTTGAAATTTTTTTGACTCATGATTACTTTTTAGCCTCAGATAAATAACTCCCAGAAGTAAACCTTCACCCTCCAAGCTGTACTTGGTATCTCCCAGGTGCTCTCTTTTAGCTATCTGCTTGTACATTCTACAGAACAAATATTTCATGGAGCCCACTGTGAACTTTAAGAAATCGAGCAGCTAAGGGCCTGAAGTATGCAAGCTTGCTTGTGTCTAGATGAAGTCTCCAGACTATTTGTCACGTAACTATCAGGTTCCCTGTTCTATTCCCTTAAACTCAAGGGCAGACACAAAATACTCCAGCAAATATTGACACCGAGAACCACATGATTATAGTGCCTGTTGAATATAAATTAGTTTTTCTGTTTCATTAATGCCAATCTGTTAATATGTCCTCGTTTTCTGTTTTGGCAGGCTTTCTAGCACCTCTGAAGCTTGAAAAGAATTATTTTAAAACATTTCTTACTTAAAAAACAATTCAGGCCTTATCAGTATTTTTCTATGATTTATCTTAACATTTCTCTTTGCACTGGAATTCCAAGTTCTCTTTTAACTTGGAACTTTAAACTTTAACATCAGATTGCTTGAATGCTGCCCTTCTAAAACTTTCCATCCCTCAAAATTTACCCTCCTGTAGAAGCACCTTTCACCCCAGGTCCCTAGTTTATACATGGGCATTAGACATTTCTGCACCCAAAAATAAATGTTACACTTTTCCCTCACCCCCCCAATTTTACAAATATTTTCATACCTTTAGTTTGAAGACTGTTCAATCCCATACATAGACTCTCTGGCGAGCTAGGAGTTGAGGATTTCTTCTGAAGCCACCAGTGTGCTACTGGCATACCTCTCCTTTGTACCACAATAAACTGCAGATATAAGTTACAGTTTGTTTACCTTTAGCATGGATTCACAACCTTTTGCTTGTTTCAGCTAAGACAGAAGCGTCAGCTCTGTCAACTCCACCTTAAGGAGGGGCCTGGATCACAAACTGTAGTTATTAGCTCAAGCAGAGGCAGGAAGGAGAAATGAAGTGTTCTGCATAGTAGGCTATATGATTTCAAATTCCTAAAGTTTTATGAGTCTAATTCTAGTTACAATAAATAACTGACGAGAAAAAGAGTGTTGGATAAATAATTGTATTTAGTTAATACAATTTGATAAATGTTATAGTTACAATAAATAACTGATGAGAAAAAGAGCCAGAAGTTTGAATGATGGAGAGTAATCGTCAACCAAAAGTCAAACTTTCTAGTTTCCATCTGAGCGTTATCATCAAGACCCAGTTGGCAGGATTCAATTGCATATTATCTCATACATAGTAGGTTGCAATACAATTTGCTAAATTGAACTAAAAGAACCTCAAATATAACATAGGGAAGACAATAATATTAATCGCATCTGAGACTAACAGAGTGACAGCTTATAGTCATGGGTTTGAATCCATCTGGGATTTGTATTCTTGATCTGATGAAAACAGTGCTGGAAATAGCAGGCACCCAGACAGCTGCACCAGTGCCCACAGGAAGCAGTAACTGCTGGCCCTGTGGCTCCCTCCATGGGTTTATTACTGCTGCCCTTACCCAGGAGGGTAAACTTATTTAAGCATGCCCATCAATCTTTCCAGTCTTATGTTTTTAAAAAGATGGAATCAAGACCAATTTCACAACTGGTCTTCTTGTTTCAGATCTTGAAATTCTTCCAACATCTTTGATCCTGTTCTACCAAATTCGCTTTAACAATACTTCTTTATGTCTTTACATGATGACCTTTGGAAAAGCTGTTTTAACCTTATAAAACTGGGTCTATGATTGTCAAATTTTTCACTGAGGAGCCTGTAATAAGGAAAAAGTATTTGCAGTGGGTTTGGTTTGGCTGCTCCATAAAGGACTGATGCCAGCACCCACCCAAGTTCACAGTCTACTCTGAGACATATAGATTTATAGATTTTAATTTGGTTTGGTCACATAGATTTTGAAATCTAATGTTAACCTGGGATCTTTTTATGAGGTAGGCATAATAGATATGCTTGACTTAAAGAACCAAGAGCACAGAACAAAGTTTGAATGATTTGTGCAGGTCATCTGATGAACTTTGAAACAGGACTGAATCCAAGATTCCTGTCATTTTGATCTCTAACACTGTGTGTTTATAGTGTATATGTATGACAACGTAAGCACAAAGAACGAAAAGTAGGAAGTTGGAAAAACTATCCTGAAGTCTTTATACCATGTGTGAATTGGGATAACATTACTTGAAGATAGACTCTGATTAATTAAGAAAAATACTGTAACCCTAGTATAACCACTAAATATTTCTTTTAAAAAGTGGTATATATAATAAATCAACAATGAGGATTAGATGAAATAATAAAATATGTTTGGTTAGCCCAATAGAAGGAAAAGAAGGAAAAAAAGAAGTGGAACATGGAAAACTTCTGTCAATATATTCTTAAATTCAAATATATGAACAGTGATCTGAAATCGGAATGATATAAACCAGGGGTGGACAAACTTTTTCCATAAAGAATCAGATAGAAAATATTTTAGGAGAAAGAAACTATAAACAAGAAAATGTAATGGGTATATTAAAATTAACCTTGTGATATTCACAAGGATTAGAATTATCAGTATGCATTCAGAGTTTTTTGATGGATAAATATGCATTTGTATGTATACATGGGTTCATGCACACAGACATATATTTTCAAGCTCTGTCCATAGAGAAGCCCTAGAAGCAATGACACCTAGTGCCTAGACCTTGGTTTCTTTATTCTCCAGTAAAGGGAGCCAGAATTTCTTGGAGAAGTAGCTGGTTGATTCCATCACTTTGTCAGGGGATATGAGATGAGCCTAGAGCATCTCGTGGTGGTAGGAAATGTCTTTTAAAAAATGAAGGGACATGACAAAATGGTCCAGAAACTAACCTGAAAGAGCTCTTGATGACCAAAGTTGCAACAATTTGAGCCACAAAATAAATAACAATTGTTTTGGAATATATATTAGTCTACTCTCACATTTCAAAATACAATCATTGTTCTCACATTTCAAAATACAATCATGCCTTCCCAACAGTACCTCAAAGTCTTAGTGAATTTCAGCATTAATTCAAAAGTCCAAAGTCCAAAGTCTCATTTGAGACAAGGTAAGTCCCTTCCACCTATGAGCCTGTAAAATCAAAATCAAGTTAGTTACTTCCAAGATACAATGGGACTATGGGTGTTAGGTAAATGTTTACATTCTAAAAGGGAAAAATTGGCAGAAAGAAAGGGGCTACAGGCTTCATGCAAGTTCAAAACCCAGAAGAGCAGTCATTAAACTTCAAAGCTTCAAAATAATCTCCTTTGAACCCATGTCTCACATCCAGGGCACATTGATGCAAGGGATGGATTCCCAAGGACCTGGGCAGCTCTGCCCCTGTGGCTTTGCAGGGTTCAGTCCCTGCAGCTGCTCTCAAGGGCTGATGATGAGTGCCTTTGGTTTTTCCAGGTGATGAGTGCAAGCTGCCAGTGTATCTACCATTCTGGGGTCTGGAGGATGGTGGACCTTTTCTCACAGCTCCACTAGGCAGTGCCCCAGTGAGGACTCTGTGTGGGGGCTCAGGCCTCACATTTCCCCTCCACACTGCCCTAGTAGAGGTTATCTATGAGGGTTCCACTCCTGCAGCAGACTTCTGCCTGGACATCCAGGCTTTTCCATACATCCTCCTAAATCTAAGTAGAGTCTCTCAAGCCTCAACTCTTGCACTCTGTGCACCTGCAGGCCTAACACCCTGTGGAAGCCACCAAGGCTTATGGCTTGCACTCTCTAAAGCAATGGCTTGAGCTGTACCTGGGTCTCTTTGAGCCAGGGCTGGAGCTGGAGCAGCTGGGATGCAGGGACCAGTGTCTTGAGGCTGTGCAGGGTGATAGGGCCCTGGGCCTGGCTCACAAAACCATTCTTCCCTTCTAGGCTTACAGGTCTGTGATGGGAGAGGCTTCCACAAAGGTTTCTGAAATGCCTTTGAGGCCTTCTCCCCATTGTCTCCACTATTAGCATTTGACTCCTTTTTACTTATGCAAATTTCTGCAGCCTTCCTGAATTCCTCCCCTGAAAATGGCCATTTCTTTCTACCACATAGCCAGGCTGCGAATTTTTCAAACTTTTATACTTTGCTTCCTTTTTAATATAAGTTCCAGTTTTACATCATTTTTTGCTCATACATATGAGCATAGGTTGTTAAAGCAGCCAGGCTGCTTCTTGAACGCTTTGCTGCTTAGAAATTTCTTCTCCCAGATACCCTAAATCATCACTCTGAAGTTCAAAGTTCCACAGATCCCTAGGATGGGGGCACAATGCCTCCAAGTTCTTTGCTAAAGCATAATAAAAGTGACCTTTACTCCAATTCCCAATAAGTTCCTTATCTCCATCTGAAACCTCCTCAGCCTGGACTTCGTTGCCCATATCACTACCAGTATTTTGGTAGCAACAATTTAACAAGTCTCTAGGAAGTTCCAAAGTTTCTCTTATATTCTTATCTTCTTCTGGGCCCTCCACCTTCTGCCTGTTACCCAGTTAAAGTTGCTTCCACATTTTCAAGTATATTTTTGGCAGTGCTCCACTCCTCAGTACCAATTTTCTGTATTAGTCTGTTCTCACACTGCTATAAAAATATTTCAGACTGGGTAATTTATAAAGAAAAGAGATTTAATTGGTTTATGGTTCCACAGGCTGTACAGGGAGCATATGGTAGCTTCTGCTTCTGGGAAGGCCTCAGGGAGCTTTTACTCACGGCAGAAGGCAAAGTGGGAGCAGGTGTCTTACATGGCCAGAGTAGGAGCATGAGTTTGTGGAAGGGGCTACACACTTTTAAACAACAAGCTCTTGTGAAAACTCACTCACTATACAGTACCAGTTGGGGTTGGTGATAAACCATTTATAAGAACTCTGCCCCCATGATCCAATTACCTGCTACCAGGCTACAGCTCCAACACTGGGGATTACAATTCCACATGAGATTTGGGCAGGGACACAGATCCAAGCCATATCAGAATATAACCCATAGAATTAAAAAAAAAACCTATGAGTTCATATCTATAAAAGTAAATAATAGCATAAATAAATCGGGTAGAAGAAACAGCTGTTCCTCACAGAAGAATTCCAACTAACAAAGATGGCAAAAGTGAAGGAAATACAAAATGAGCATTAGAACTCTTCAGTAATAATTGCTGTACTCATTATCTGCTAACGAATACTAAAATCAGTGAAGAAAAATTTGAAGAAAAACAAGAGTTTAGTTCCACCAATATATTTGTAATTTCAAAGTTAAAAATAGTGACATTGGAGTGGAGAAAATCAATGAACATCTGCTTACCCAAGTGACGAAGGTTAACATAACCAGTAATAAGACATATATTGGTTGGCAATAATCTGCCAGACTTTTCTATAATTCAAAAACACATTTAAAAGTCAAAACAATCAAAAATCTTCTCAAGTTGAAAAAAAAAGTTATACATGAAATGACTCAGTTTCCTAATTCCTTCATTTACCAAATAGTCTGCCAAATAGTTAATCATTTCTAATAATAAGACACAAATGCTGTACTGAGAAGGGCATATCACGTCTATGGTATGCTTGACAACAATGTATAACTTCACTCTAATTATGAGAAAATTTTGGATAGAAAAAAAATTGACATTCTACAAAATACAAGTGGTTTGACATTCTACAAAATAACTAATTTTTCTAAAATGTCACAATCATGAAAAACCACGTAAGACTAAGCAACTGTCCCCAACTAAGGAGACATGATAACTAAATGCAATTTGAGATCCTGGATTGGGTCCTGAAATAGAAAAAGGATATTAATGGAAAAACTAGTAAAATCCAAAAAAAGTCTGTAATTTCATTGATAGTTGCTAGTGTACCAATGTTAATTTCTT